ATGTTGCCATCGGTTAATGGGCGCCACACGATCTCCTGTGTGTGGTCGTCCATTCGGTAGTTTATTCGTTTCACGAACAGTGTGGAAACTCACTGTTCGTGAAACTACAGTATGAATGCTGGGGTTTTCATGCCGCCCTTCATTCGCCTGAAATAAAAATAGAGCAATACACTTGGTTCTTACAGCTGAAACAGGGATATAAACATATTCATATGTGGATAGTCTTAAGTGGCCAGTTTTGCCACAGTCATTTATTACATGTGAGTTTACAGAGGAAGAGGTTCTATTTCAACTGTCAAAAGTTGTGAGGATATTTATGGGGTGATAAATATTAAAAATATTTTCATAAAAATTATCAAAATTAATGTAATAATTTTTATTATATCAAAAATTTTAACTTGGCACTGTTTCCCTGATTAATTGATTTAAAGCTGGGAATTACCCACAATTTTAATTCTCTTAGATCCTAGAGTAAGTTTTCATTAGAAGATTTTACTTCACACATTAATCACAAATTAATTATAAAAATATAATTTATTGTGACAATAATAATAAAAATAATATATATAATATGCGTAAAAATCAGTGAATATTTAGGTATAACATAAGTATAAAATATGGCAGTGGTTTTAATAAAATATAGACAGCTAAAAAGCAAGTTATATGTAACAGTTGTCAAGAAGATTTACGACAGAACATTTCACTTAGAAATCAACACAGAACACAGCATTTCACAGCAGCACAGCGTAAAGCAATAAAAAAAAATTCTGACAGTCAAATCACACTGAATTAACTCTTTCACTGCTGGCTACAATCCTCATGGGCAAGATATCCTATTATATTGCAATTTTACAACTGCAGTGATTCTCATACCAGATCATTCACTATTCCTCTGTCCATCCAATAAGAATATTTCTAACCAGATTTTATGTTTGCAGAATTGTAACTTTCCTTAATTTCAGAACAAGTCAATACCTCTAGATAAAAATTTGGTATGCTAACATTTGTCAAATTTACCATTAATATATAATTATCTTTATTCCACCTGCAGGAATGGTCATTTTATAACTATATATTCCTTAGCTAATTATGATTTCTAATAATTGAAATCTGACCAAGATTTATCCAGATATATATTCCTGCTATTAGTAAAAATTTATTACTTTAATTTAATTAAATACAACCAGCATAATTACCAGTTAGGTTGTAGATTTTCTA